TTATGTGCATTGCATTCGCAAAACCTCTGTAAAGATATACTATAGCTAGGCGTGGAAACCTATAATTGGCTTTGTATTAGCATATTCTGAAATTTTATTATTTGTTTTATAGCTGTTGGTTACCCGAAATAAAATAAATAAATAAATAAATAATTGTCTACCTGCTGACATAAACCTCTTCTTATAGACATGAATAAATCGCTTAATTTAAATTATATTGTATCTGTACTACAACAAAAATAGGAAAGCGTTCTTCGCTTAATAAATACAATAACAAAAAAAATACATTTTATGTCTAGAGTGTCATTACTATTCTAACAAAGATTGAGGTAAGTATATATAAATAAATAAATATGCAAAGGTATCCAGTGTATAATTTAAAAAGGAATCGCTAAATGTTTTCCTGAGCGCAAATCTTGAGAAAAGCTGAACCGATTTCGATAAGCCTTTTATGTTGGGTACGTTAGTATTGGAAGATATTTATGTAAGAAAGGAATGTAGTAACTTAAAGAGTAATAATCAAATACAAATTACTTGGTTATAAAACCACCATTGACTCCCATTTTGAGCTACTTTGGTCAGAGGCATAAAGTCCTTAAAATCTGGGGCATCTGGACTTATTTTTATGTGGTTGTATGTGTGCTGAAAACATTTTTTTTATTGTGATAAGAACTTTTAATAAAATTAAATGTTAATGAATACCAAATACGTATCTTAATAAGACTTTTCGATATAAAAATTCACGGATATTCTAGTCTGAAATTATAAATCTAGTCAGAAATTGTATACTTAAGTTTATCACTCATAAACTCTAACGGTTAAGATAAAAAACCAATCCCAAAAACACAGTACCTATAGATAAAGATAGCTTTTTCAAGCGACTTCAAAAAGAAGGAGGAGGTTCTCAATTCGACTGTATTTTTTTTTTAATTTATTGCATGGAGTGTCATTGTCTGTCAAAAATATTGATTCAGAGATTTTCTATTGAAATCGGTTAATAATTTCGACCTTTATAGAAAAAAATGCAAGCCCAAGTATTTTTAATATACAATTCATAGTAGATGTCCCACCCACACGCACCAAGCGCTTCGCATTAAGCTTCCTTGTCCGTACTGTTAAGGAGTGGAATTCTTTGCCAGAATCTGTATTTCCTGGAGGGTATAACCTGTGTGTCTTCAAGGCCCCAGTGAATAGCTTGCTTATGGGATAACGTGCTCCATTGTAGACCACATCATCGCTTATCACCAGGCGAGATAGTGATCAAACGTCGGCCCATCAAATATATATAATATATAAAAAGAACAACCTTACCACAGAATTTTGGAACCAGTTCTGTTTAGAGCCAGGTTTCGTGTTGACTTGTTTAGGTGTCGCATCATCGTCATCATCATCATCAGAGCTGACGGCGGGATCATCAAACGGTATATCCTTCAGGTAAGCAATATTGGTTTCACTTGATACTTCATCATGTTGCCGTCTATATTTTTTTATGACATTTTCTAACTGTTCTAAGTCTAGGTACACGTACTGAAATTCAATTTATTACAGTTTGTATATATGTACATGAATTGATATGAAGGGATTGAAACAATATAAAGTTTGATTCTCTGTTATTTTGAACTAGCTTTTACCCGCGGCTTCGCTCGCGTCACAAAAGGATAAAAAGCCAATGTGACATATACCAATACACACAGCGCCATCTATACCAATACTTTTGTTTTCCCTCGGGAATATAAAATTTTTCCGGCATAAAACGGTACCCTATTATTTAATCCGGGCTTCTAATTATACATCTGCAAAATTTCAAAGCAATCGGTTTAGTAGTTACGGCGTGAAAGCGGAACAAACAAACAAACAAACTCACTTTCCGATTTATAATATTAGTAAGAATTAGAAAGAGTTAAGGTCATTCAATGTTTTTAAAATATGTCATCAAGTGATGTCGTGCGTCTCGGAATCAATTTAATATGTGATCATTTAATCTAATCCGAGTAAATATTCACTTTGTGTGCAGACAGTTCAGTTTTTGTTCATTCCGAGTGAGTGAATCACATCATAATGTTAATGAATTTCTTAGTGACAGATGTGTTTGAATGATTGAACGTATTGATATATAAATTGTAACACTTAACAATATGTAGGTAATTATTCTATCCTATTTGTTTCTTATGACTTATTTCTATTAACTTCATTATTTCACTGTTATTGACATTATTAGTTCATCTTGACATTTACTTGGAGATTTATAACAAAATTAATTAATATTTGTACAACAGCCATGGTTAAGCATGTCGATACAAACAATACTATACATCTAGTAAACATTCATTTTTGCATGTATTATTATAGATAACCTACACATGTTTTGGCATATAAAACGATCTTTATCTATATACTATAAAGTGTGGGAGAGCTATGCTTCGGGATGCATGGGCCGGTTCGATCGGAGTGATACTACGGCCTCACAGAAGACCGACGTGAAACAACGCTTGTTGTGTTTCGTCGTATTAGTGAGGTTACCGGAGGCCCAATTACGCCCCCCCTCCCCTCGCCAGTCTCCCCAATTCCCGAATCCTCCACAATCCTCAAATTCCCAATTCCCAAAAGGCCGGTAACGCACTTGAAACGCTTCGGTGTTTCAAGTGTCCATGGGCGACGACGATTGCTTACCATCAGGTGATCCGTCTGCATGATGCCTATACCATAAAAAAAATCTTTATCGAATGCCAAAGTCCAACATCCTTGGATCGGTTCACTAATGAATTTATTCTGCACTCTTGTTTTCATTCTGAGTACAGACGTATCATTGTGAGTGATAGATGCCGAATAAAAGACAAAAATATAACGTCTCATCATCAACAACCTATAAATGCCCACTTTTGAGCAAAGCCTCTTCTCACACGGAGAAGGTTTGAGCACTAATCACCACACTTGCTCAATGCGAGTTGGTTATTTTAAACTTATAATTAGAAATTATGAGCCTAGGTTTCCTCACGATGTTTTCCTTCGCCGTTGGTCAGTGGTGTCTAAATAATCTTAGAAAGTACATATAATTTGGAAAAAGTCACATTGGTAATTTAATTCATTCTGAGTATAGACGTATTACTGTGAGTGAAAGATGCCGAATGAAAGATAAAAATGAATCGTCTGATATCACCTTAACCAATGGAGTTCCTTGCTCGTTTGTCTCCATAGGAATCTACACCTTAGAATGTGTCAATAGCTTCCCTAGAGGACAGACCGCGAGACTGACTGACTTTTAAATGTTTATTGTTTGATGTTTAAAAGTGCCTTCCTTGTCTAATTTAAATGAATTGATTTAACTAGGACTTTATACAATTCACTCGATAAGGTAGGGGGTAGATAGTAGGGGAGCCCACGATGCTAAATTGGGATTTACTTGAGCGTCCTTGGGACCTACTGGATTTTGAAGATATGCTGATAGAAAGAAGAAATGGTTTAGTGACAATTTCTTCCACCAGTGGGGGAAGGGGGAATCTACAGATCTTTGAAATTGTTAAGCGTAACTTTTG